ATTCACTTACCGCAGCTAAATTTTTGTATACGCCAATTATAAGTATCTGCTACATATATGTTACCGTTCGCATCAAACCTCATTCCAAATGGGGATTGCAATTGATTTGGGCGGCTACCTCGACCATCACTTCCTATTATTGTAATACCGCTTGATGCGTGGGGAGCCCATTTTTGCACACGATCATTGAAAGTATCAAGAACATAAATATTCTTTTGTGTGTCAACCGAAACCGCTCTTGGTAAGGATAACTGATTAGGAGCACTACCTCCTCCATTTCCGCCTGCTACTGTTATACCATTTGTAGCACCTTGTGCCCACATTTGAACACGGTTATTATAATAGTCTGCTATATAAATATTAGCATCGTTGTCTAAGTATATGCCCAGAGGAAATGTCAGTTGATTTGAATTACGACCTTCACCATTTCCACCAGCAACAACAATACCCTCAGTTGCACCAGGCATCCATTTCATTACACGATTATTATCTCTATCCGCTATGAATACATTTTCGTTTTCATCCACATAAATACCATAACAATTACTCAATTGATTAAGTGCAGATCCTTTTGAATTTCCTCCAGCAACTGTAACACCACTAGTGGCACCATAAGCCCATTTTTGTACGCGAAAGTTACCGTTGTCAACAATATATAAATTATTATTACGTACAAAAATACCGATTGGATTTTTTAATTGATTCATATCAGAACCAAAACTTCCGCCTGCTACACTTATTGAATTTGTTGCATTAGGTAACCATTTTTGTATACTATTAGAATTGTCTGGCACATAAATATTACCATCATTATCAACAAATACATCTTCAGGAAGATTAGCACGTGCTACTCTTGTTCCAGTTGTATTCCATGAGCCCGATGGACATGCTATTACATTTCTGAAACCAACTTGTGCTTAAAAGTAAAAATAATCATAATAATCCTAAGTATGGTTTAAATAAGTCATCATTATTACAAAATGAATTAGATTGAACATTTCTTTGGATGACACTATCCTTCAAAACAAACCTTCTGTTCGAGCGGTACGTATTAAAGATTTTTTTCGAACCTCTATTACGTGATTAGTAATAGAAAGATTTTATATAAAATATTTTGCGAGGGCAGCATGTCGAAAATATTTCCTATGAAGCACTTTGGAGCTAAATTACATTTTTTTAAGTGAGTTATATAGTGATTTATGACGATTGTTTAATTTGAAAGAAGACTACTATATTTTTAGCATATGGCATCTTATTCTATTTGTATGCACTAAAGAGAAAGAATTTGAATCATTCTCAAACGTCACGTTTTTGCTGTGAACATGTAATTTAGTTTTAACCTGTTGGAGTAGAGTCAAGATCGGGTCATTGCATAGTCAAACTGAACATTATAATCGAAACAACGACTATACCGTTGAAAGTTTTTGAAAAACTTCGTAGAAATTTATGCGAAACAATCAATTTTATATCAACAATCTTACCTTCTATTATTGCAAGACATAATAACACAAAGTGTTTCATCATTCTACTGTTTTCACTTTCACAAAAGAATGATGATAGTGATTTTTTTCTACAGCTTAATACTAACTTAATACTTATCTATGACCTTGAGAACAATACGTTAAATTAAATGAAGGGTTTAAGTTTAAGACCTAAATGAGAAATGAAAAAAATCAATTTTCTCTCAAGAGCAAGCACATATCAATTTCATTGTATATATTGTGCATCTATGGGACACTTTTAATAAAAAAGTTACGACGAAATGATTCACATAAGGCATATATCAAATGAAAACTTCATATCATTTTTAGCATCAATCTGATGAATAGTCAAGCAGAACAAATTGTTAATATTTTTTTTACATGTAAAACTATATACAAAAAACATATACAGCGCATGTCAAAAGTCTCGCGCTACTTTTTAGTTTTAAGTCATGTATTAAAACTACACACCATTAATTTGATTTGATCGTATGCCTACATAACAGAGATCATGTACAATATATATAAATTATCCACAACATAAAGCTGTTGTCTATAAGCAGATGTATCGATAATCGTAAGTGTTGTAGCTACAGGACTTGTACTGGTATAACTATCGGATCGAAAAAATGTATTAATTCGATTTTTTGTACGTCACACAGTGCAAATACACCATGGTAAAGCAGTAAAGAACGGAAAAAGAAAGAAATTACTTATTCTAAATAAGAATATTTACTGGTGTTAAACGATCTTTATAATAAAAAATATCCTTTAATAATGAAGTTTTCAATAGACATTAATTGTTCTAGATTCAATAGTCTCAGACTATAAACACTTTTAGTATTACTTTAAAACAGAAAATTTTTCTTAGATTGTATATTGATTTTTAAACATTTAATTAATTAGTATAAAAATTATTAAATAAACTATGATAAATTGATTATTATTATTGAACACAACAACGATTTTATTCTTTTAATATATTTTACAATACCGTCGATAGTGTCTTCTCAGCACGAACTTATTATCAAGAATAAAAACGTATAATATCTTTGGCGATGAATCTCGTATGAAAGGAAAGATGTAGAGTGATTAAACTATTCATTTTTATTTTTGAGGGTGTGGGTGTTTCTTCACCCTTATCCACACCCCGTAAACTATCATTCGCTGATCCATGTCGATCAAATGTTTATTAGCACCTGGCACGTGTCTAGCGCTCCATAGATAAATACCAAGACGCTATCGAATATTTTCGGTGTGCTAATCTGCTACGAAAGCGTCTACCTTCAGAATCACGTTACGTCTATGCACTTACGTTATCTAATCTTGCGATTACCTTTCCTGAATTGAACGATACAGCAAAAGCTCTACATCTTTTCGATCAAGCTGTATCCCTTTTTCGTCGAATTTTGGAACCGAGACATGCAAACATACCAGTGTATTATACTCGGCTAGCTCATGTCTACTAACAAGAGAAACGTTATGATGATGCACATACGATGCTTTTATTAGCGGTATCAATTTTTGAAGAAAAAGAACCTTGCTATTTTAGTAGTTTTGCCCCAACGAAACATACGATGGGTCTCGTCAAGTATGCTTTAGGTCAATCAGAAGAGGCAATAAATTGTCTCAAAGAAGCACTCAAAATGCATCGAAGATTGTTCTCTGACGATCATCCACTTATTGCTCGTACATGCTACGATCTCGCTCTCATATACATCGAAACAAAAGATGAGCAGAAGGCACTTAAGTATGCTCAAATAGTGTTCATCATTCGTCAGGCAAAACTACCGAAAAACCACATTCGTTTGAAAGAATCTATTGAGCTGATGGATCGATTTCTTTCATCTCAACGGATAGCTACTCCAATGGGCCGTGACTTCACTAATATTGATCAGTGAAATATATACCTTTTCTACTCTTACTGCAGAAGGACCTTAGTTTTGACAGCAATGTGGCATGTTAAAAGTGTAAAATATAAGATACTAAATCTGACAAACGCGGAGTTCGACGAAAACTCCTATTCTCCTATCATTCTTCATTAAATCTGGTATTCATAGTGGTGTGGATGGATGTGGGTTTGGGAGTAAGTTTACGTCGGAAGAAAATTAACACCCACACCCACCCACACCCCACATCCACACCCTTCGAACTGCGAGATCGACACTTTTTTTTCCCAGTTTCCATGAATAGTTTAACACATCATTTTTATCACCCCATGTGTTTTCTTTATTTCAAAAGTGATTGTTTTATAAGATATAAAAAAAACTTGAAGATTTTAAGTGCAACTAATTCTAAATATACTACCACTTGTACAGCTGCCTCCCATTTTTCGACAAGCAGCAACAGTGCAGGAATCACAGTTGGCCATTAACTCTGATGGATTACTGTATTCAGACCAGTTCAAACATTTACATTTACAGATAACATTAGTACTATTTAATTGACGACCATTAGCCATCATCATCTTTGCTGTCGTGATCGATAAGAAGACTATAGTGAATAATAGACATGATAATAGATTGCAGTTCATGTTTTATTCTTTGCCGTAAATTGAATAAATTGTGTTAAGAGATAAAATATTCTGAAAGTGAAAAACAATATTTTTTTCTGAGTAGTTATATTTTCTGTGTGTGAGAATGGGAGCAGAAGGCAATTTTAAAACAAATAGCATTACTCAACTCGCATAGATAGAGTATAATTTTACTTTTACTTTTACTTTTTCTTTGAGTAGACACAGTTTACTTCAATTAGTATTCTACTTCAGAATCTGAAAAAGGAAGATATATGTAGGCATTACGGATGTGGATGTGGATGTGAATAGAAGACTTCGACCCTTACCCACACCCAATGTGTTGTATTCAATTATGAATGCGTTAATAAAGTGAGAAACACATACATATTCATCAATCAAATACTAACTTTAATAAAACACTGATAAGTTTAATATGTTCGAAAAAATGCAGGAATGTGATAACTTCACATCTATTCTAATTATAAAAACTGTTGACCAGTTTTTTTGAAAAGAATTATTCCTATGAACAGTATACATAGCAGTAAGAGCTTCAACCTAAATTGAACTGCGGCAATTTGTACTATCAGTTTCTTTCATGGTGGAATTCCTAAAGGAAGACCCAAAAAAAAAGAAAATAGGAATTGAAAGAAAACGTTAAAATTACATTTTTTGGCATTAAAAGACTCTGATCTTTAATTAAAGCATTTTATTATTTCATTTGCGAATTATCAATGTTTGAAAACCAATTTAAAAAAATACGATATAGAAAAAGGGAAAATCATGATCGCATTACAAGTAACTGAGAATGTACAACAATCTTCAGTAGACATATATGATTGAAAAACTGTATAAGAAGTTGAAATCATGAAAAAGCATTATTTGTCCTTGTAGTAAACTATTTTGCATCATATCAACACAAAGAAGAAGTTAACAATCAGGATGTATGAGTATGATTTAAGTAAAGATGAGTCTACGCATATAGTCACACGAAACCCTCATGGTTGCTTGACTTATTCTCAAGGTCGAAATGGTATTTCCCTTTGGAACAGGTATGCTCCAAAGAAAAATGGTGGTGTGAGTAATGAAATAATTTATTAGAGTGGATCGTCTTATAATGTTATTTCTGTTATCGAGAATTTTTTAGCAAGTTAAATCAGACAATGGTTAAATTAATACATTTTTTTTTGGTGGTTAGCCGTAGAAAAGTTCGACAATGAAGACGAATGAAACAATAAATAAACAATAACCCAAATGAGATACCTGGTTTCGTTTCAAAATCAATATTACATGCTGCAGCTTCATTTGAATTGCTGCTACTGCCAATCACAGTTCGAATAAAGTAACAACCTTGTGATAGAAAACTATCACAATAAGTCTTATCACAACAACCATATGATACTGTCCTCCAGCCCTACGTAAGACAAAAACATGATCTATATAGTAGAATGACGATTACGATTTGAACATATGATATGTTTTCAATTCTTTATTAAACAAATAATTACTTGGCTGTCTAAGAAAACAATTATTCTCAAAGTCAGCGACTCAAAAAAAATATTTAAAAATACATTAATCTAATAAAAAGAACATAGACTTTAACGTATTTCAAAATCATAGATTAAAATGGATACTTTCATTAACATAAATCTATGATTTGATTAGAAAATCAGATTTATTAGCTTTGCTTCATTAAAATGCTGCTTTTAATCAATTAATTTTGTATAGATGAATTTTTATGTCCATTTCATCATGAGAAACGCCAGTATCTTTCTGTTTTTTTAAAAAAGTTTCGCAAGTCATCAATAGTTTTCTTTTGATTTGTTAAGTTCGTAGATGCACAGATTAGCTTCGATTCCATAGATGTCATAATACCATTACACTGTGTATCGAGAGGTAAACGTCAAAATACCCTACAGAGTAATCAAGTGAATACACTTTCACACCATACAAGTTACGAAGAGGACTAATGACTTCATTACCCAAACGCAAACTATGCCTCTCTAAGCTTGAGAAATTTG